CAAATTACTGACCTCTGTCATCATTTTAAGTGGGGGAACTTGCACAATCGGTGGCTGACTAAATACTTTTTTGCCCCACTGTAAATGTATTCAGCTTAAATTGGTTATGTAGAAGATAAATAGAGAAAAAAAGCGACTTTGCCTCTAAAGAGGAAAATGAATATGGAAGAGGTTAAAGTGGATTCAGCAGGTGGGGAAACCCTAAAATCAGTTTTAATTGCTCAGTGTGGGGGAAAAAAATCAAAACTCACAATCATTTCTATTGAGAGCTACAGTAGATTTTCTTAGTGTGCAGGCTGTGATCAGCTGACCTGCTGCTCTCTGTGGATTTTTACACCTGAATTCAACCAGATGTAAGAAGATGTTTCATGAGTTGTCCTGGCTGATTTCCATTCTCTATACTGACAGTATTCTGTTTAAACTAACTTTAAACCCATCACAGTACAGCAAACTAACCTGTGTATCCTCATGTACAGACCCAATATCTGATTTAGAATAGAATTGAAGGCTCGCAATGATGTGAAATAATAATTCCGCTCAAAAGCCATAAAACAAAACTAAGCCTGTTTTGAAAATGGAAGGCGTAGAAAGTACAAATATTTGTTTAAAATTGTAGGAACTTAAATTAAAAGGTTTTCAGAAAAAAACCCACTCAAATAAAGTACTGATAGGCTACCTGAAAATTCTATTTAAATACAGTAACAAAGTAGAAGTCATTCTTCAGTCAAAACTGCCCCCCATTTCACCTTAAAAATTTAACATTTAAAAACAACGTACATTCTTTATTTCCTTCAGATGTTTGTTTCTTGAAAGAACCAGATGTGTGTTGCTACTTTGGTCTGAACAAAATAAAATAAATGAGGTGACATAACGATGTCATAAGTTTCGATTTCCAGACAGACTGGCATAAGGATGATCACACAATGTTTCTAAAACTATTTCTCCCACTCCATCAGAAATCCTTGAACACATTATTCTTAAAGCTTTTAGAATATTGCATACATTTCACTATATGAAAAAGGCGGTGAACTTAGCAATAGCTACTAAATCTAATCAAGTACATCACAATAGTTAACTCTAGTTGTCCTTTCGGGACAACTAGAGTTAAGAAAAGTCTTTCAGTCAAAATTTTAAATTAAATTAATAAAGCTCTTTAACATTTCCACTCTTACCTCCTGTTCCAGACGGATGAGGGAATGTGAGGGATCGCTGTCCTTGCTGTAAACGCAGGTGTGGCAAGGTAGTTATTCCCAGCAGAATTTGTTTCCCGTGCGTCGGGAGCGCACACTGGGCACGGAGAGCGAATCCATTTGACTCCGCCTCCATTTCAACCAACTAGACGTGAAAGTAGTGATGTTTTAATTTAGCGAGAAAGTGAAAGATGAGACACATTACATAATCGTTCAGTTTGTCGGTTATAACAGAAAATTATACATTCCCACTTTCTCACGTGGTATCACACGGGATGAGAGTTTCACCTAGAAAGAGGATAATCAGTTCCGTGTAAACTCGATTCATATAAAATTTAACTTTCATTTCTGCTTTCCAAAGAACTTAAACTGAAAGTGTCCAACTGGAAGATGTCTCATAATAAAACACGGTGTCTGATGTTTTTATTGCATTTCATTTCAAAACAAATACAACATGAGCCATTAGTTAAGCTCATATAAGATACACTTCCTCTGAACTTTTCGTGTGAAGTCTGATCTTCTTCCCATCTGTGTGTTATGATCCGAGTGAGCGATAGGAAATTCTGCTTTAGTTTACTTCGGATCCCTTTGTTATGCCCTTTATACTTTTGTCTCTCTCCATTTCTTTAAAATAATACATTTCACCGGATTGATAATAAAACTTTAACTCTCATTTCTGCTTTCCAAAGAACTTAAACTGAAAGTGTCCAACTAGAAGATATCTTAAGCATCTTCTAGTTGGACACAGTATCTATAAAACACCGTGTCCAATGTTTTTATTGCATTTTAGTTCATTTCACCGGATTGATAATAATAATAACAATCTCAAGAACAAGAAGCACAGTACCACAGCATGTTGTTACATGGCAGAATCATAACTTTCTGTTTCCTGGTAGACCACACCCAGCTTATAAACTTTGCTTGTCCACGAATTATTTACCACATTTGTACTGGTTGCAGGCATTTTTTTTTTTTAAAAAGATGTCTCCTCTGCAGGTTTCAATCAGTAAACAATAATTAAGCTATTATTCATTAATTAACTACCAATAAACTATATCAAAAGGAAAATGACATTCATAATCTAATCATAATCAAATTTATAAATGTATCAATGACATGCATCTCTTTAATAATTTCAGTTTTACCCCCTGTTATAGAGAGCTGAGGAAAAAAGAGAAGAGATCACATTCACTGCAGATGTCATCAGGGGGCTGGGTCTGTGACCCAACATATTTAGGTTTATTTGGCATTGCTGATTTAGAATATTAAAATAATGTCCATGTGTTATTCTTAGTTAAGGGAGCAGTTGAGCTATTTTGTATTTTTGGATTACTTATGAGATAATGTTAAGTTCTAGTATTATTATTAGTTTGTCTTAGTTGAGTTTTGGTTTATGTTTCTTCTATGTCTCCTTTTTTATGAGTCCTGTTTTCTGTGTGAGTCTGTAGACTTCCCTGTGTTTAGGTCTTGCTTGCCCCTTGTGTTGTTCAGTGATGTCTTTGCCTCCCGTCATCTCCCCTGGGTGTCATGTAAACAGCCATTAAGAAGATGAAAAATGGAAAAGCAACTGGACCAGATGATATCCCAGACGATATCCCAACCAAAGTCTGGAAGCTTCTCGGATGACTGGGAGCAGCCACCCTGACAGAATTGTTCAACAACATTATCAGCACAGGGGAAGTCCCGAAGGTCTGTACAACCAGCATCACCATACCCATATGTAAGAACAAAGGGGATGCAGCCAAATGTTCAAATTATCGTCCTATCCGCCTACTATACACTGTAAGAAGTCATCTATAGAATTTACCCAATAAATCTGAGGTAACAATTTGCATTGACTTTTTTGGGGTAGATTTAGTTCAATATATTGTGTATAAAATAGCTTCAATAAAAAGCTATGAAATACTGGGTAAAATTGGGTAAAATTTACCCCATATTTATGTATACATTCAACAGCTACTTACTCATTGAAATTAGGTAAAATTATTAAAATTATTTCTTGTTCGCTAGTTGGTAATACCTGATAATTACTAATAAAATTTAATTATTATCAGTTGATAAACATTACCTATTCATATAAGGTAAAATGTACCCCCCAAAAAAGATATTCAAATGGTTCATCATCTCAATGTTTTTATTCCATAAAAACACAGAATAAAGTGCAACACAACAGCTAATGCAGACAACACTTTCAAAGGCCACTTAGTCCATTTTAAAAGCCAAAAGCACATACAGAAACTCTACAAGGTTGTTTCTTTGCATGTACGTTATCAAACATATGTATAGATAGAACAGAACACTAACACCAACATTCAATAGTTTGTGTGCTTCCTGTCAGAAGAAAAATTACAGCTCCATCAAGCTATGTCTGGACAAAAGATCCTCTGGGAACAAGAGGGGAAATGTGTGTGCATTGCATAAGCTTATTTTTGAGGCTGTGGACCTTTTTCAGTTCCAAAAACAGTTTTTTAAAAGTATTAAATGTGTTCTGCAGCTCCTTCAGATATTCGAGGTTGAGGGCATATATCAGTCCCATCAGCAGTACACATGCCTTTGTTCGGCTTCCACATCCCTCCATCACTTGGTTTCCCTCAATCACAATGGACACATCTGATGGATCCTCCTCAGCCATGATGTTGTGGATCACGATCACCTTCATCATATTGTCTGTGTAATCCTCACATTCCTTCGTGTTAAAAAGAAAGAAAGAAAAAGCATACACACATTTTATTTTATTTAAGATGCTTTTTCAATACATTTCAGTTGATCTAAAGAGGGGAGTAGACAGAAGATGAATGGAGAAAGGGAGAACAGGGGATAGGAGAGGACAGGAGAGAAGAACATTAGGATCCCTTGAGTTAATAAGTAATCTGTTATCAATATGACATACCTGGCAGTCATGAAAAAGATCTTCTTGTCTTTCCCCGAGGTAGCTAATGAGGCAGCAGATAATGACATCCCTTTTCTTCTCAATGCTCTGTGTCTGTAGGGAGATACAATTTAGTGAAAAGACTAAGTCGAGTGATTTACTTACATTAAGACTGAATTAAAAACAAAAACGTGGCTGATGTCTATCTCCAGCTTTCAACAGGTGAGAGGCTGGGTACACCCTGGAAAGTCAATCACAAGGCAACATAGAGACAGACAGGATAAACAACCATGCACACACACACTCAAACCTAAGGACAATTTAGAGAGACCAATTAACCTAACAGTAATGTTTTCTGACTGTGGGAGGAAGAGTACCCATGGGGAACCCACACATGCACAGGGAGAACATGCAAACTCCATGCATAAAGACCCTGGGCCGGGATTCGAACCCAGGACCTTCTTGCTACCCACTGCAGCCCTCCATAATTACATATTTGTGAAAAAAGTCAAATAACATACGTCATTCAAAGTGTCCAGCAGAGGTCTCATCTTGGAACCAGCAGCTCCTCCTTTGGCACGCATAAGCTGCAAAAGACCTGGTGTGTACTCATCAAGTTTCAGCATGAATGTCTCCACCAAAGAAACTGTGGTGATGCGTCTGAACTCTTCGATGAGCTAATAAGTAAGGGGACAAAAAAAATGACATTTCAAATGACAGACCAGATCTCATAGTTATAACACGAATGATTTTTGGTGGGAAGGAAAAGTTATCACACATACATACCTGAGCCTCAGTGAATAATGCTGGCCACCTTTCTTTTAACTCACCCATAGAGGGGCAGAGGCTGACCACTTCAACTCTTCGGCTAGAGAACATTTTATTCATTTTATCTGCAATTATCTTTGTGTTGTTTTTCTTTGTTATTTCATAAATTAATTCCAGCCTGTCTTTCTCCAGTGTCTCTTGGGTTTCTCCAGTAGGATGCGGAGGGAGATAATTAACCTCTGCTTTTTTTTGTCTTTTTTACATTCTTTGAAGGCACTGCATCAGCTGGATGCTTCCTTTTTAAGGCATTAATTTCAATTTCCGGGTAAGAAAATTTTCGAGATCTTAGCTTGGCACGGTAATTGTGCATCTTGTTTTTTATGCGCTGCTGCCAGCCATATAAGCCGGCAAATGATCCTGGCTCCTTAAGACACGGAAACTTTGAAACCAAGGCTTCAGCCACTGAGAGGATCTGCTGATTGGTTGGGTAAGCAGTGAACGAAAAAATTACTTTTGCAAGGTCTTGCATTATTGCTGATTTAACACTGGCATCCATGAAAGGTCTTCCAGTGTTGCAATATGAGTTGTTTGCCTCAGCGAGGGTTAGTTGTATGTCTCGGGAAAACTCTGGTACTTGAAATGGCACTGGCCATGCAGCAGGGCGACATGAATCAGGGAGAATGATGGTGTCACTGGAACTTGATGTTGCGTAGTCGGACACCTGTGAGGGTGCATCATGATTGGCAGGGCAGATGTCCATTTCAGTAGTACTTGCAGGATGGGTGCTCACTGAAGTCGAAGAGTTCAATGTAGACGATGACCCTGATTCACATACTGGTTGTAAGTCAAGGGTGATTACTGGCTCTTTAAGGATCACTTTAACAGTGGCCTTGTCATACAAGTCAGCAGTTGAGATGACACTGAAAAACTGATTGTCAAAGTCTTTGTCTTGGTATAGCACTCCAAATTCTCCCTGCAACTGGAAAATTTCAGTAATTATAGAAACAAGATCTTCCACTGTATTAGGAATTCCTGTTGGAAGTGTCAACTTTTGAATGCTGTGTTCTTCTAAAATGACTCTTAACTGGACTGCCATTGTTGTTTGGTTTGTGTTTCCTCAGCTGTAGAGACAGAGAAAGAAAAGAAATTGAAACAGGTTATTAATAGTTGATAAGCTTACATGCATATATTTTCTTCATTATCTTCTGCCAGAGAAATAAAAGCAGAGATTTAGTTCAGTAAAATTTTGAATAAATAATTTTTGATTGTCATTTTAAGAAGAGGGAGATAAGGGAAGAAGAATAGAGGAGAGTTAAGTATGCATCACATGTTTCCATTTTCTTTTTCAATGTTATATGTATTGTTCCTGTTAAATAAACATTACAATAAACAAATAAGAAAGGACGCATGCCCATATAGTTGTTGGTAAAATAATTTTTTTTTTCAATAATTTCAATAAGTGCACAAACATTTCATATAACAGAAATAATCAACCCATTACACTTACTCTGATGTGCAAATGAAGTGTTTAAGGGACACCATACGGCCATCTGCTGTATTGTATGCAGCCATGGGGTATGTTTATTTCAGTTCAGAATGTTTAAGGATTTCTGTCTCTCCTGTGGGCTCTACTTTGA